GCTTGTCCCTTTAGATTTCTTTCAATTCTTCAAACTCAAAGAACATTGAAAAGAAACACAATATTTGAGTCCCTCGAGGAGACAAACTGTCTGATGTGATGTAAATCAAAGATGGCAGAATGAATTCTTTAGCCAAAGGTTTGCTGCTGCTGCTTTGTGCCTTCAAGTCGGTTCCGACTCATTACAACCCTTGTGTACAGTTTTTGGACCTGTAAATCTTAACTAGAGCAGAAAGCCTTATCTTTCCCCTGTGGAGAGCGGCTCATGGATTCAAACTGCTGACCTTGCTGTTATCAGCTCAACATAGAACACACTAGGATACCAGAGCTCCTTAGGGAAGGGTTGTTTTTGTTGTTAACTTACAACTCATAGAGACCCTGTCTGTATCGGGGTTCCAAGGAGAAGATGTTGAGTTTGAACCACTGACCCTGTAGTTAACAGTCAAGTGCTTATCCTATAGTGCCATATCACGACTCCAGAGAACGGTTAAAGAGATAAAAACACCACCTTAAGAAGTGAATAGACCTAGATAGGAGATATTTCAAGAAACAACAGCTTCATATTTTGATACTTTTATTTATAAAATGTTTCTATATTTTATACCAACACTGTTTGATTTACTGGTGTGGCGCTGTGGGCTAATGTGTCAGACTGCCTAGTTGTTTGCACTGCAAGGTCGTTTGTTCAAGCTCACCAGCTGCTCCTTGGAAACCCTATACAGGGTGCCTATGGGTTGGAATCGACTTGATAGCACTTAAGAATAACAACAACAATAATGCATGGTAATATATTACTAGTTGTGTTCTTAACGGCGGTGGTGGTTGCGTTTTGTGGAGTTGGTTCCAACGCACAGCGACCCTGTATAGGGTTTCTGAGGCTGTAAATCTGGTAGTTTCACATTGCTGACCTTGAGGTTAGCAGCTCGACTCATAACCATTACGCTACCCGAGTTCCTTTCTGTTCTTAATAGTATAATAGTATTGTGGTATGTAGAAGAGTGTCATCTATAAAAGGTACTTGCTGAAATATTTAGAGATGAAATGTCATGTGCAATTTATTTCCAAATATGACCAAATTTTAATAATTGGTCAGTTTAGGTGAGCGGTAGGGTATGTTCTTTGTACAAATCTTAACTTTTCTAAAGTTTTGAAAATTTCAAAATAAAGAGTTGAATTAAAAAAAAAGACAGAAATTAAACCTTTTCTTCAACGTGGTAATAAAAGCAAATATAAAGTATCCTTTATTGATTGTTGTTAAGTGCTGTCTAGTCGGTTCCGACTGATAGCAACCCTGAACAGGGTTTCCGAGGCTGTAAATCTTTACGGGAGCAGACCGCCTCATCTTTCTCCTGTGGAACAGCTGGTAGTTTCAAACTGCTGAGCTTGCAGTTCGCAGCCTGATTCATAACCACTATACTACCAGAGCTCCTTGTCTTTTACTGATAGGAAGAAAAACATTGATTGCATTAATCTTTTTACCTTTTATCTTGCCTATAGGTTCAAACCCACAAGCTGCTCCTCAGAAACTCTATACAAGATTGCTGAGTCAGAACCAACTTGAGAGTGCTTAACAACAACAACAACAACAAAGGTCATAAGTCATCAATCCTTTTGTGAGAGGGAATTAGTTCTCATATTTCATGAAGTTTTAAAGATGATATAATAGTAGCAGAAAGTTGTTCTTTTTGAAAGAACCATGGACTCCCATTAGGAACAAACAAATCTGTTTTGGAAGTACAGCCAGAATGCTCCTTAGAAGCCAGGAAGGCTAGACTTTGTCTCTCATACTTTGGACATATCAGGAGGGATCAGTCCCTGGAGACAGACATTATGTTTGGTAAAGTGGAGGGGTCACCAAAAAAGTAGATGCCCCCAACAAGATGGATTGGCACAGTGACAACAGCAATAGGCTCAAGTGTAACAATTGTGTGGATGGCACAGGACTAGGCATTGTTTCATTCTCTTGTGCATCAGAACTAACTCTACAGCCCCTAACAACAACATCACTACTACCATATAAGAATTGATGTAAGGAAACTTGGCCCTATTAACTCAAATGTTTCACATTCTGTTTTTGGAGTTTGAGCTTATTTCCAGACATGATTAATTATCTAGAGGGAAAAAAAAATAACTGGCACTTAGCTCCTTAAGGTTTTAAAGAGTATTTCTTTGTGTCCAAATCTTTAAATTTAATGGACATCTGATTCTGATTAAAATAAATACTAACATATTACCCACCTTTCCCCCTAGACTTCAAAAAAATTAATTAATGTGAATAACACAATGGCCAGAATTTTCTGCTGAAAGACTTTGTGAAAATTATTGGCAATACTTCAAAGTTGAGAGGACAAGGAAGGTGAATGTATTGGTATTTTTCTTCAAATGCTAATGAGGTAGCTTATTCATTGGCACAAAGGTCAGCTGGCTTAAGGCAGCTAAGTGCCATAGAGTTGGTTCTGACTCATAGTGACTCTGTATGTTGTTGTTGTTAAGTGACCTCGAGTTGGTTAGGACTCATAGTGACCCTGTATAGGGTTTCTGAGGAGCAGCTGATAGGTTTGAACCACGACCTTGAAGTTAGCAGTCCTGTGCTGACCCTACACCAGGAGTCCAGTGACCCTGTATGGTTGTGGTGCCTGTGTGCCGCGGAGTCAGTTCTGACTCATAGCAACCCATAACGACCCTATACTGGGTTTCTGAGGCTGTGTATCTTTACAGGAGCAGAATGCCTCATCTTTCTCCAGCGGAACAGTTGGTAGTTTTGAACTGCTGACCTTGTGGTTCGCAGTACAATTCGTAATCACTACACTACCAGTGAAGCTGTATAGTGTTTCCTAAAGCCTTCAACCTTGCAGTTAGAAGTCCAGTGCTTGCTTATCCTACAGGGCCACAGGGATGCTTGTTCTTGCCTTAGCCTGCACTGAGCCCAAGTATGTGTTGAAAATAGGAAAGAGTTGATATGTAGATAATCCCTTCATTTCAGCAATCACTCACCTCTGTTACTCTAACATTAATGAAAAAGCAAAACGAAACAAACCCATTGTTGTTGTTAAGTGCCATCAAGTCAGTTCCCACTCATACTAATCCTGTATAGGGTCCCTGAGGTTGCAAATCTTTGCCAGAGCAGAAAGTCTTATCTTTCTCCGGTAAGAGGCTGGTGGGCTCCAACGGCTGATCTTGTGTTTCGCAGTCCAATACTTATCCTACAGAGTCACTCTGCACCCCTCCAAACACCCATAACACATAACAAACAGGATGTGCCTAGAGAAACAGGATACTTTCTGAGCTTTGCCCCCTAAGCAGGCCATGCTATATTGGGAGAAGAATGATTTATCATGGAAAGTTTGAACCTTACCATAGCCATTTTCAAATCTACCAGCACGCGTTGGAAACCCTCTATATACAAGGTTGCTCTGGTGGCGTAGTGGTTGGTTACAAGTCTGGCTGCTAACCTCAAGGTCAGCAGTTTGAAATCCTATCAGTTGCTATGAGTTAGAATCCACTCCACAGCACATATAACCACCATCAATAGGAATATATTCGACGGCACTCAATAATATTGCCATCTACATATTGTCAAATTGCCTAATGTCTTGGTACACATATGTATAAAACGGGAGTTATTCCAACCTTTCAGTTTTGGAAGAGAATTAGTGTGAAGAGCACATGAAATCACTCCAGTAGGCCATCTTGAAACCTACCAGCCGCTCCTTGGAAACCCTATGCAAGTTCTCTCTGGTAGCTTAGTGGTTACTAGTTGGGCTGCTAACCAGCAGTTTGAAACTGCCACGTGTTCAACAGGGTCTCCATGAGTCAGAACTGACTCCAGGGCACACAATCAACTAATCAAAGTTTCCCTTTTCTCTACGTGTGTCTAAGGCGGTCCCCAGCTGTTGGGTTATACTATTAAATAGTAAACACAATAGTCATCTTCTCTTCTGTGGTACTTATCATCCTTTGCCATTTTGCTTCTTAGTTTTTCGGCCTTTTTCATCTTTCCAAGCTGTCAGAGTCTAGAATGGGGAAGTCACTTCAAGTTCTGTTTGTAGAGTCGTAAAGCTTGGGGGTAGAAGGGTTGAGGATAGTTGGAATATCATGTAATGCACAACTCCTGCCTTTTCCAGCCTTTTCTGCGGAAATCTTCTGGCCTAGTTTCTTAAAAGTCAAGGCTACCCAGCAAGAGGTGAACACCAAAAAGGTCACTTTCGTCCCCCTTTTAGTGATTCCAGTGCCATGATGGAAGTGGCGGGGAGAAGGTGCCCAACACCACGACTAAGAGAGTCAGGAGCTCTCCCCGCAACTTCAGGTCTCTGGGAAGGGCGCTGAGCAGGGAACCGAGTGGGAGAGCCTGGCGAGGCTGCAGGGCGCCCGAGCGGTCGGACGGGGGAGCGAGAGCTAAAGCTTCCAGAGCGCGCCGAGCTCGCGCGCCAGCCGCCGGAGCCGGGCGGATGATGACGCGCGGAGCCCGCCCGCCGGCCCGGCTGCAGGGCGGGAGCCATGGGAGGCAGAGGCCGGGCAGAGGGCGGAGCGGGCGGCGCCGGGGAGGCGGAGGAGGAGGCGGTGTCTCCCGGAGCTGCGCAGGCGTTGCTCGCACCTTGCTGATTAGTCAGTGCTGGGAGCGCTGCTATGGCGTTTCTCAGACCTGCAGCTCCTCCTCACACGCTCGAGGCAGAGGGAAGGCGGGGTAAGAGGAGGAGGCGAGCGGGCGGCCGCCGCAGCTGCAGACCCGGGGCCAGAGGAGGAGGCGGAGCGGGAGTCGTCGCAGTTACCCCGACCGCCGCCGTCCGCGGCAGCTGGGCTGCTCTGAGTCCTTCCCGGGCTTGAGGGCACTGGGGCGTCTAGCCATGCTCCGCAGCAGTAGCTGAGCCGGGAGCGGGCCCCCTCCCTCCGGGCCGGCTCAGCTGCGGCGCCCCGGGGCTGCCAGCGGCCGTAGCTGCCCGGTGCCTCCCGTGCGCCCTAGATCGCGAGCGCGAATTGCGGCGGCCGCCGAGACGCGGTGGTGCCGGCGGCAGCGGAGGGAGCGCGGGGCAGGAGGAGGCGGGGAAGATGGACCCTGCTCCCTCCATGGGCTGCAGCCTCAAGGATGTGAAGTGGAACCCGGTGGCCGTTCCGCTCGACCTGCTGGTCAGCACTTACCGGCTGCCCCAGATCGCGCGGCTGGACAGCGGTGAGTCCCGGCCGCCCTGGCGCGCAGGGGAGACTGGTGCGGACCGCAGGCTGGTTGCGGGTGTGTGCCCTAGAGGGTGGGACTGAGTGGGGGAGTGGGCTTCCAACCCCTGGAGTTGGCTCGGGTGACTGCCGCAGCCCTGGGGCGTTGTTCTCAACCCCCCCCCCCCCCCCCCCAGCAGAGGGTCAGATGTGGAAAGCAGAGTCCTTGCAGTGTAATTAAAAAGGACGCTTTGAAAAAAAAAAAAAAAGAAAGAAAATCAACATAGGGGAAACCTCCGCAGATTGTAATCTTGGAGGCGAGCTGTCCATTCGCACCCGCCTGCAAGCATTACTCAACCTGGGAAACCCTGAAGAGTTATCTTGGGCAACTTTCTTACCAAAATAATTGTACTCTGGGTGGCATCTTTATTTTGAGCGCAGCAGCAGATTTAAGAGGAAAGCTCCTGGGTGACCAATGAAAGAGATCACGTTTCTCAGACCTTTTATTACCGCTTGTTGGTTTGTTTAACTGAACTGAAAGTAATTTAGGGCTATCTGTAGAAAATGTTTACAGCAGACGTGATGGCATGTTTAGGTTAATTATTAGCTTAACGCATTTCCAGCCTGGAAGAAAAAATTAAGTCATCAAGAAAATTAATTGGAACCTGAGCTCAGAATTAAGAAACTCTTGTGTTTCCTGAAATTGACCACCAGACACCAACAAACATCCCCAACTGTTTGTTCTTTTGTGTGACATCAGCTAACAAGTAGATCCGCCTGTGTGTTCTAGCAAACAAGTAGACACCTTTCTGTTAGAGAGTTGTAACATGTAAGGTGGCAATTTACCTGTGTTTTGCCTTCTTTTGTGTTTTCAGAATAACTTGAGCTGATTTTGGGTTCGTTGGATTCTAGCCTGTTTGCAGAAAAGAGTGGGGCAGCTGAAAACACCTGGGCCCAGGCCTGCAGGCTGGCAGATAGACTATAGCCACGCAGGCCAAGTCACAGTGCACTGAGCACAAAGATGTCATTTCAATCACAGCGTCTTGGGTTACTCTTTGTTTTCTGGAGTAAAAGAGTGGGTAACATGAGATGTGTAAATGTCCAAAGGAATTTTTGTTCTATTTCTTATCTCTGGATTTAGATTAAACGTTTGAAGTATCCTGGTGTGAATACTAAATGCAGGAAAGTTCATGGAAGCTGGAAAATAATCTGGGCATCCTTGCTAGTCTTGTTTGGTTGTTGTTGGTGGTGATGCTCTTCAAGTGCCATCAATTCAAGTTTCTACTCATAGCAACCCTATGTAGGGTTTCCAAGCAGTGACTGGTGGGTTTGAACCACCAGTTTTCAGTTAACAGTCCAGTGCTTCTCCTACAGCATCACACCAGGACTCCGGTGGTGATGGTGGTGGGTTATTGGAATATGCTAAGATTTGTAAAACCACTGATGAAGTGGGGAGGACAGTAGCTGTTGAATGGAAGGGTTGGGGAGACAGGTGGTGTGGCGATCCATTTCTGCTTAGCATGGAGATAGTAAAGTGTTTGGTACTTAAATATTTGTATGGAGACCTGTATGCGTGTAAAATCATAATATTTCATTTTCTCCTCTGCTGTACAAAATTGTGTACATTGGAAAGTTTTGAATCCTCACCTTTTTCTGACCTCTCAGCTCTGCACACTCTGACAAACTCATTAGCTAGGCAGAGAATAGTGATACAAGAGGTGTAAAAGTCACCTCAAGGCTTCATTAAACTGGAAGTTTAAAGAGCTGAATATCCGTTTCAAATATAACTTTTCATATTATTGTCCACTTTCCTCTTGCTGCCATTCATAAAAAGGGTCTGAATCAGCAGTGTGCTTATCCCACACTTCTTTTTAAATTAGCTTGTGGGTAGTAGGTATTAACACTGGGCCCTTTGAAACCATGGGCTGGATTTTGAACACTTTGTGTAAGCCTTTTTCTTTATTGTAAGTGCCTCTTATTTTTCTTCTTACCACTTGAGAATCACAGGGACACACAGATATTTAGAACCATAGCCAAATACAGCTTTATATCTTGCTGCTTTTATTTACAAATCCTTTGAGCCCTGATGTGGCGCTGTGGGTTAATGCGCTGGACTGCAAGGTCAATTTAGACCGTTAGGTCAGTGGTTCAGGCTCACCAACCGCTGCTTGGAACTATACAGTGTTGCGATGTGTCGGAATCGATTAAATGGCAGTAAACAACAACAACATTTGACAAATGGGCTCCTGGTGTGATGCTGGAGGATAAGCACTGGACTGCTAATCCCAAGATTAAGGGTTCAAACCCACCAGCTGCTCCTCGGGAACCTTATATAAGGTCACTATTAATTGGAAACAACTCGACAGGCACCTTAACAACAGAAATTACAATACTAGACATTATGGTACAAATGGCAAATTTTTGGACTACTAACTGAAAGGTTGGAGGTTTGCACCTACCAAAAAGCACCTCAAAAGAAAGACTTGGCAGTCGGCTCTGGAGAACAGAAATAACTATAGACAACCCTGTGGAGCCCAGCTCTACACTGCCACGCATCAGGTAGCCATGGGTTAGAACTGACGCAGTGAAAACTAGTTTGGTTTTTTGTGATTACGAATCAGGCGGCTAATTGCAAGGTCAGCAGTTCGAAACTACCAGCTGTTCCACTGGAGAAAGATGAGGCTTTCTGCTCCTGTATAGATTTACAGTCTCGGAAAGCCTGTACAGGGTCACTATGAGTCGGAACTGACTCCACGGCACACAACCATCACCGCTGTAAATTTTAGTTTGCTTCAGCTTTTTGTAGATACAATTAGTGATATGATGAATCCTCTTTTACATAAATCTCTCTGTTTTTATTAGGCTATATTTCTAACTTGCCAAGTAAATATGTGACTCCTTTTTAAGGTCTTTCATGCGCATTGCCAGATTGCTTTAAAGAAAGGGGCTATAAATTCATACACACTCCCATGAGCACATCTTAACAATATTGAGTATCTCTTTTAAAAATATTTGTTAGTATTTTTGGAGGAGAGTGTTTCCTAACATTTAAATTTGGGTAGATTAAAAAAAATCAATTATAGATTCTGTGCATCTTTTTAAACATGTTTCACAGTAATGATTGGATACTATGCTGACATATTTATAAACATGATATATGAAATATCAAGTTTCAAGGTCCTGTGATGGTCCTTTGCCAGTTTCAGAACTGCAGGTAGAATTTATACAACACACATGCCACACTATAGTTAGACATGAAAGGTAGTCATTTTCCAAATCACTTGTTTAAAAGAGATGAGAAAGAAATTGGAAAACATTATGCAAACTGGAAATTGTTGCCTATTTTTGAACAGCCTTTGTGAAACATTAAAGAAAATCTGTTTTTCCTAACTGTTGATTATTAATTGCCTATCCAGTCCTGGTGTGTTGCTGTGGCATAAAGCACTGAACCACAAGGGTGGTTTGAATCGCAGGATTGGTGTTTCAAGCTCACCAGCCGCTCCTCAGAAACCCTATACTGGATCACTATGAGTAGGAACCCCACTGGAAGGCACTTACCAACAACAATCTGCTATGTGCTGGAGTCCTGTAGGATAAGCACAGCATCACTAACTGCAAGCTTGGTGGTTCAAACCCACGAACTGCTCCTTGGAAACTTTATACAGGGTCGCTATGAGGCAGAAGTGACTTAGGGCACACAACAACAACCTCTACTATGTGCGGGCATATTTATAGGTGCTTGACATCTGTGGGCTCAGATCCTCAACAAACCCATTTTAAAGACTGCGAATCAAGAAGCTAAAGTGACTTGTAGGGAGACTCGTCTAGTCTTAGTAAATGATGGGATGAGATTTGAAGCAGATCTTTCTGAATCTGAAAATCGACCTCTTATCACAAACTGGTACTTTTTCATAGTAAATGTTAATGGGTTTAGTGTAGGTTTAATGTCTACTTCAAAGAACGCCACTGTCTCAGAATTTGAGGACCAGAAAGTCATTATTTTTAAAACAGTGTTGTTGTTGGTATGTGCCGTGGAGTCAGTTTGACTCATAGGGACCCTGTAGAGGGTTTCCGAGGCTATACATCTTTTAACGGGAGCAGAATGCCTCATCTTTCTCCCGCTGAACAGCTGGTAGTTTCGAACTGCTGACCATGAGATTAGCAGCCCGATTCGTAACCACTATGCTACCAGAGCTCCTTTAAAACAGTATAGACATGGAATCAAGTGATCCATCATATTTTGATGCTTTTCTACTTCCCAAAGGAATGGCTCAAAGGAGGTGAGGGACAGTAGGGAAGAAGAGGTTATGGAATCTGAGAGAAAGAAGGGAAAAAATGGAGGTGTAGGAGTGCATAGGATACGGAAATGTATCTACAGATTAATCCTCAATCTGTATATTTAAGATGCTAACTCCATGGCACATAACCACCACCCACTAAACAATAAGGAGTCCTGGTGTGGCGTTGTGGGTTAATGCACCAGACTGCAAAGCCATTTGAACTGCTTTGGTGGTTCAAGCTCACCAGCTGCTCCTCGAAACCCTGTACAGGGTCGCTGTGGGTGGGAATCACTCTATGGCACTTAACAACAACAAACAATAAGTAAAGAACTCTCCAATTCTTTGCATTTTAGATGGCACTCAGGAAGTGTCCATCTGACATATGCATTCACTATTATATCCCCAATGGGGAGATTTGTCTTAATAGCATAAGTTGAAATAAATGCAATTAGGTAACCATTCATGGAATTGTCTCATGGATCTTTCTGGAAAACTCAAAGAAAAGCAGGCACTCCAGTGATTATCCTTGAGAGTGAACTAAATCTCAGCAGTGACAGTCTAACCAGGACTCCAGCAATGAAATGAAGATAAAATATTGAAACTGATCACTAGTTTTAGAAACTGTTAGCTCTGGAAGTAGGTTCTGCAAATGTGTTTAGGACCAAGGAGAATGTGTGGAGAATACTGATCCCTATTCCATCCCCAAGTTATCTTGGCTCAAAACTGGGTAGTTGGTAGT